AAATATATAAACCCTGACTCCCAGAGGATTTTGTGTGCAGAAACCAGCAAGTGATTTCTTTTCATGCAGAAAATAACATTTTATTCCCTGTGAATTGCCATACATCACTGCCATGAAAGAGTAGTTATTGGACTCTGATTCAGAAATTGGCAATCTTATATGCCTTAGGTATTCTGGTTGTACAGCAGTGGCTGTAAGCATGGAATTTCAATTTGTTTTACACTGGCCAAAAGATCAGAAAAAGAGAAGCATTCAACTCACCTGGACTCTTAAAATAACATTAAAAAGAATAATGATTCATGTATGTTTCATTTTTCTATGGGAAAAGGAGCAAGGGCTCTCTTTTCCAAGCAGATTTAAATCAATATATGATTCCTTCGGTTTGCTGGTAATATGATTCAATTATTATCATTTTAAATTGCTGACTATTTCTTCTTTTTAGGTTTGTTCTTAAAGCTCAGGAATGGGCAATTTACCATAGTGTGTTAAATGGGTTGAATTTGCCCATTCAAACAGCAATTGTCTTTCATAAACTACAGGAACACTAAGAATTTTTTTCCCTTACAGTTGTGACAGAGAAGATGCAAACTACACCACAGTAATAAAGGTCCACTGAGTAGTTAAAGAAATCATCAGCTGGATTACCTGCATATTTCAATGATACCTTAATATAGAAAGTGAAATGGTTAAATTAAATCAAAGACTGCTTCCTCCCTCTCCTACTTTTAATACATATTTCTGTGAGAATTTATCATTCCACCATATTTGGGGGGATAAGTCAGAATTTAATGTTTTGTCAACTCCTGCTCCTGTATAATTAAAATCAAAACCTAACATCAGAAATTAAGTAGATTTCTTGCCCCTTGATCTTCATGGCTCAAAAAACGTTTTACTTACAGTACTTTGTCCCAAAAGTGCTTTTTCAAGAGGCAACTAGACTTTCTTGTTTTTCTTTGAAGACGTTTCGCTTCTCATCCAAGAAGCTTCTTCAGCGAAATGTCTTCAAAGAAAAACAAGAAAGTCCAGTTGCTTCTTGAAAAAGTACCTTTGGGACAACCATGACCTGGATGACTGAGAACCTCCATAGACTTTTACTTACTTTGTTTCTTCCTACTAAGAGACTTTAGACGCAGTGTTTCTCAACCTTGACAATGTTAAGGCATGTGGACTTCAACTCCCAGAATTCCACAGCCAGCAATGCTGGCTGTGGAATTCTGGGAGTTGAAGTCCACATGCCTTAAAATTGTCAAGGTTGAGAAACACTGCTTTAGAGCTTGAAAAATCACAGTCAGATATTTGATGATGGCAATGACAGATAGCAAGAAAACATTTATTCACATCAATTGGTTAGCTTTGGGTGTGTGTGGGGGGGAGAGATAGTCTGCTGTATTTCTATATCTCTTCTGTATATGAAACAACAGATAATTTTCCCAGTATTGTGATGGAAAAAGCTCAGTGTTGCATGATGGAATTCTGTTATAGCAGAAAACTAGTACAAACTTAAAAGGGGGCATCATACTGGAAACGGAGTAGTCTAATGCAGAGGTCCTCAACCTTTTGGGCACCAGGGACCACTTACATGGAGAGAGGTTTATCCATGAATCGGAGGGGACGTGGTTTTGTGTACTGCCTATATACTGTGGATGGGGCTTTCCTTGTTTGGCAGACCGGTTGCTGGCCCGGTACTGGTCCATGGACCGGGGATTGGGGACCCCTGGTCTAATGCATCATATGATCCATGCTGCTATTAGGCAAACCAACTGAGGTAATTATTGCTCATTTACTGTGGGCGATCAAAGTATTGTGCTTAGTAGCTTTCAACTCACCAATCCAAATGGGGTGTAATTTTGGATTCATTACTCAGTATAAGGTGCTCTTCTCCATTAAAAAGATGAAGAGAGCACAAAGAAAATCCCATGTATGAAAATTATTTGAATATTTATGTAGAGTTTCTTTTTTAAAAGAAATTCCAGAAGTACAAAACATTCTTAGATTGCTATGTACTTTGAAAGAAAGCTCATGTTTGAAAGAAAGCTCATGATTTTCCTGAGAAACAGAAATAAAATAAGCTGGTAGCTATATAAAACTTTTAATAATCACATCTATGTGGTCAGCCAAGACATATTAATGTAGAAAGAAATTGTGAATAGACAAGAGTGCTTCAAACATTATCTGCTGGAAATTGTGTGGTTGACTATATACTCCTGCTTCCCTTGGAGAATCAGCATTGTCCTATGGGCATGTGGGAATAAGATTTTGTTAGTAACATTTGTTTTCAGGTAGATCACCCACCTCTGGGTACCCACAGAAAAATATCCCTTGTTCTTTGAAAACAAAAGATATTGAGTTAGCTTCAGAGTGGCATTTGGATATTTGTAAAATTTTGGAATTCTAGGAAAAGGAGATACCATATGCACACAGTAGACATGTTCAGTTGTTCCTAGGATCTTGAGTGTTCAGGGGAAGAAATGAGGAAGACATGAGATGAAGGATAGGCAATAATTTCACTGTTCATATATAGATGATCAAGGTGAGCTGAGCTGGAAGGCGGGGTTAAACATATCAATTTGGAATCTTTGTGCTCCCACAAGAGACCTAAGTTTAGCTTTCCATGAATTCCGTTAACCCTTAGCTAACACTGGTATAGCTTTGACCATTAATTGACCAGATTTTTGTATATAGGTAGCAATAATAAACTCTTCAGTGCTTTGAGCTCAGTGAGTGTTCCTAGTTCTTTGAGCCTGACATCACATAATATTCTCACACATTTTTTAGAAGAAAGCACTACATAACATTTAAATCTGCAAAAGATTATTTTGTTTAAGATTAGGAGCAGAATGGAAGCCATGCCAGGAAGACATAAACTATGGGTTGATGACTAAAGGACAATATTGCTGTCGGGTTGATCAATCAAATTACCACAGCTGCATAAGAGTCATCCTGTAGCCCAGTGTTTCTCAACCTTGACCATTTTAAGGCATGTGGACTTCAACTCCCAGAATTCCACAGCCAGCAATGCTGGCTGTGGAATTCTGGGAGTTGAAGTCCACATGCCTTAAAATGGTCAAGGTTGAGAAACACTGCATGTGAAAAAGTTATTTCATGAGATTTGGTTTCTCATATCCCAAAATTCAGCTCTGAGATGAAATTCAGCTCTGAGATGAAAGAGGAAAGCACTTTCAATAATGTTGGGCACTTTATATTTAAGCAGGTAATTGTCATAATTCCTCAGTAGATGGTTGAGAGATAAGAGGAAGATGAGAGGTTAAATAAAATAAAATAAAATATAAAATAAATAAAATAAAACATAAAATAAGTAAAATATGAACTAAATAACACCCTCTGATTCATCCTGAAAAATCTGTAAAGCAAAAGTATAAAATGAGATTGATTTTTAGGAATGAGTTTTATTTTTATGGCTGATAAGCTCTGAGTTATAGATAGCACCCAAAACAGATAACCAGAAAAGCTGATCTCAAGTCTCACTGAACTTATTGGACTAATCAGGAAGGAAGGAATTGGAAGATATTCTCTAAGTACTATCACTTAATGGCACAGAAGTAAATTAAACATAACGAGCATATTCAGCGATGCTGAAATTTATAGAAGCTTTGGGACAGCTGTTGTCCAAATCATACTTATGCAACAGCTCTTGTACCAAAGAATGCCACACTATGTGGGTGATATCTAGGGACGTATTTGTTTTCCTTATGGGCCTCTCTCTTGTGTGTCAAAGAACGCAAGATGATGTACCAGAGAAATATTTCTTGTACAGGACAAACACTTCAGATCCTAGGTCCTTTATCAAGAGCTCTGAAATCTCTGCCATTTCTCAATCAGGTTCTCGGGCACTTTGAGAAACACTTCTATTCTCTATTTGATTTTTCAGTCTTTTGTGTCTGGATAGAAACAGAGGCCAATTAACGAGATCTACTACATACAGAGAAAGCCTCACACCTATTTCAGACAGCAGCCCCTCCATTCACACACAGAAGCCTGCAATCTGATGGCTACACAGTGAAGACAGGGAAATCCTCCCAATGTTTTTCTGTTATCGGAAAACAAGCTTTTTTCCCCCCTCCTGCATGTGTTTTCCTATCCTTTGTCTTGCCTTTGGAGAAACTGATTCCTCACCAAGCTGAGAGTGAATCCTGAGAGTTCCCAAAAGCAGGTATAAGCCACTTTAGCTGAGGCTGATGTGGGCTAAATTACCCCACCTTTGCAACAACTTGCTAATTCAAAAGAAGGTACTGTGGCGGGATTCAGAATGTCACTTTCTTGTCAAAGAACCAACAGCAGAAATGCTAACTGATACTGTGGACTTTCTAACATTATTGCACAGACTGGAGAGACTCAGTTTAACACACAACTAGCTGACAGCTGCAACAAAGCTCCAAGACACTCTATGGCTGCTCACTTTGGTGAATGTCCTTCATTCTTAAATCCTAGCCCAGCTCTTACTGATAATACCTCTTGGATTCAAATTCCCTTTGTGCAATTGAGGTAATCTGTACTTTTCACAGCTCAGACACCAGTCTCTCACATACATTATATTAAAGCTATGATTTGTTGTGTCAGGGTTCATACATCATGTAAAGCAAAATTTACAATTTACACTGATTGGATTCAAGTAACATGTCAAATATTCTGTGCTAGAATTTTATCACCTTCCGTGAACCAATCCGTGCACTGATGAAAATCAAGAATTGTTACAGAGTCATGAAATTTTATGCAGGTTCAGAGATGTAGTGAAGGATAGAAAGATGACTGCTAAAAAGCTCTAGAAAAATCAAATGCCCAAAAATCTCCAGAAACTGTAAGGACTGCCCTTGCTCCCATTGTGCAGTCAGCCACCACAGTTAAGCAAACCCAAGCACATTTCCCAATTGCAAGGTAGACAAACCATTAGGCACATCTACGTTTGTCACTGAAATGGGAGAGAAGCATTGCCCAGCCAAGGGCAGCCCCACAAAGCAGAAAGGGATGGATGGTTTTACTACCTTGACGGATGGAGACGTATCTGCCATTGGAAGCCATGAAAACGACTTGTGGGTGACTCTCTTCCAGATCAAAGAGTTCGTCTTTGCCCGGCTTGGAGCTCCTGCCAGATTTTAGAGTGCCCGTAGGTCCCACTGGTGCTAGGTATTTCCCATTACAATCCTTGAAGGCCAACTTTCCTGCCTTGAATTCCAGGGTATAACCTGAACGGCGGTCCGGCTCCTGGACCAAGATACCATCGTTGCACAGGTAGCGATTGTCGCAGGTTCGTAGGCAATACTTTTTGTCCTGGAAGGTAAGAGTGATAAGTGAATCCACTCCCCAAGGGATATTGCTGTCAATAGAGATCTCATCCTCTTGGGCACTGAGGTGAGCATATCTTCGCCTGCTAACGCTCAAAAGATTAGCTTGGGGGTGGATGGCCAAGTGTACAACCCAAAGCTCAGTTTCAGTAATGGTTTGGGCGAAACAGGACAACCTGTCTTCAGAACCACCAAAGAAGCGCTTGTATGGTTCTGACTGGAGCGCCCAGCGTCCATCTGACTGAGTGACAATGATAAAACACCCGTCAGTTTCTGGCTTCTCAGCTTCACAGGAGACTTTGCCATCCTTGCTGGCAGACAAGTACCGACCTAGATGGCTCTTTAAAAAGACCACCGAGCTGTCTCCGTCCTGTTCCAGGCTCCATATTTGCTTCCTTTTCAAACTCGGTGCCGAGGCATTGATTTTATACCCAAAGTGCTCTGCTGTTAAATAGCGATTATCAGAATTGATTAAGCCAAACTGGATCTTCAAGGCCTGGTGGATCCCATTGGTTGGCATCTTCAGTCCAGACAGCAAACAATCCTAAAGATTGAGGTGAAAGTCAAGTTTTCCCAGTTATTAATAGGTACGAATGTATGCCCAGCCTCACACTTGAGGAATCTGGATTAAAACAAATGAGCGTTTACATCTCAATCAAAGCGCCAGGGTGACCTGCAAATGCCCTAGTTCCAGGTCCGGCTGCAGCAGCTTTTCCTTCATCTAATCTGCAGCCCATAAAACCAATCTTGTTCATTACTTTTTCCCCGCCCTCCACACCTCCTTGAGCAGGCAGCATTGCTCTCTCCTGCACTGCTCACATTAACTTCTCCTCCTCCTCCTCTACGCAGCACAGCAGGGATGGGGGGGGGGGAGTAGGCACTTAGCACTGCACCAGCTTTGCTTAATTAGCACAGCTAGGATTACAAAGCTTTCAATGAGCTGCCAGCCTCCTGTAACCAATAGTGAAGCTTCTACATAAAAGCCACAAGGAAAGGGGGCTGACAGGTGGCACAATAGCCTTTTGATCAGCCGTGCTCTTCAGTGGAATTTTGTATTCTACAACAGTGGCGTTCTGCACTATAGCTCCGTCTCTTTTCCTTTGCAGTCTCAGTATCTCTAAATGTTTCATAGATTCCCTACCTAACTCCTTCTCAGGGCTATAGTATCTTGCAACCAAACCTGCTGCCTTCCTAGTTGATTTTCTATGTGGAGGATTTATTCCTCTTTGTCTCTATGTAAAGTTACAAGGTTCTCTGATTCCACGTGGTAGGTCACCTTCCAGCTGGATGCCTCTTTGGTCCAGCTTCTAATCTCCTTAACAATTAAAAGGGCCTTTCTATTAATGTAATTCTTTTATCCTCCTTCGGAGCCTTTGCCTCCATCTGTTAAGTAGCCCCAAATCCATAGCTTTTTAAAAAGGGAAGTTGCAAGATCTACCTAAAAGTTGAATCAGGGCAGTCTATAAAGCCAATGGAGCCAGCTAGGATGGCAAACCCAAGTCTTGAATAAGTAAATCTCAAAGAAATGCTGTTTAATTTAAACATAAAATCTCAGAATCTGCTAAAGCAGAAATTATTCAAAATACAGAATGGAAGCTACATCAAATACTATATTTATGGAGTTGCTATGAAGCAAATTCATGGCATCTAATCAATCAATCATCTGCAATGGGTTCCAACTTTCCATAAGGGAAAATGCGACTGCTTCTTTAGCTAGCAGATCCCAAAATATCTGGCATTTCTCCTAAGCTCCCAGGCTAGCTGGTTGCTTTCAGGTGCAACAAAGGAAGTCACGTTCCCAGATAGAAAACAAAAAAGCACCCACCTGCTTCTAGGTTGAAGAGGGCAAGGGACATGCGCCTTCCATTTTGCCCTTTGTCTCAAATAGCAAAATCACTTGGCCCACTTCATTAGTTGCTTTTCCGCCCCTTCCTTCCCTCTGTATTCTCTGCATCCTTGGAAAAATATGCTTCTCAGATTAGAAAATCTGGGGAAAACTCTAGGGATATAAAGGTGGGATGGGGAATTGGTCGAGGCACAACGTGAGATGGGGGTTGAAATTGGTGGTGAGATGCGAACAGGAAAATTACTCTTGGGCAAGGTTTAAGTAGGGCAAAACAAGCAATTCACTGCTTGGGTGCTGCATGAGTCTAGATAGTGGGGAGTAATGCTAGTACAGACAGTCCTCAACTTACAACCATTCACTTAGTGACCATTTGAGGTTACAACAACACTGAAAAAACTGATTTACAACTTCACATTTACAACTGTCACTGTATTCCCACGGTCACATGATCAGAATTTGGGGGCTTGGCAACCGGCATGTATTTACAATGGTTGCAGCATCCTGGGGTCATGTGATCACCATTTGCAACCTTCCCAGCAGGCTTCTGAGAAGCAAAGTCAATGAGGGAAGCCAGATACAGTTAACAACTCCATGACTCACTTAACATCTGCAGGGATTCACTTAACAGCTGTTGCAAAAAAAGAGGTAAAATTGTTTCTGACTCAATAACCACCTTGCTTAACAACAGCCATTTTTGTCTCAATTGTGGTCATAACTTGAAGAAACTTTCTATTAGCTGTATGGAATTGCAATATATTACAGAAGTTGTATAAAACATCAAATTTCCAACCCATTCAAGGAGACACTGAAATGCCAAATAATGGCCTTAGAGACCCCAGTGATACACCAGTACTTTGCCACAGCCTGCTTTAGAAACCCTTTTAGCTGGACAGGAGGCTTCAAATAACCCAAATCAATAAATGAATAAAATCATCTTATTTTTGCTACAATGCCCCTATATAATTTAGTAAACTTTCCCTTCCTACAAGTGCCATCAAACCAGATAACTTTGCAGCTTGTCAAATTCAGCAGATATTTCAGTCTTCAGATAAGAAACTTCTACAGTTTCTTTTTCTTGGGGATTTTGTGAAAGAAGCTGCAGAAGGAACGAAGAATAGTGGACATTCCTTTTTAAAAATAGTAATGTTTAAGAATGATGAATATAGGATTGATGTCATACATCATGATATGGACCGTCCTTTGGTTCCAGTCAAAGAGCACAGACTGACCCTTTTATAACATTCTCTAATAGCCGACTCTAGGATAGGTGGATAACGTGTCAACTCAGCCTCTGCTCATAATATAAATATATTCTGCCATCATCTTTTTTCAGTTGAGTGCCTGATTTCATTTCACCCCAGCCCATGTTTGAAATAGTCTTAATTCATCCTTTATTTATTAAATTTATTTGCCACCCATCCTGAGTTGTACAGGTGCTAAAAGAGTGTTTTTTCCCCATTATTCCAACTCAGTCCACCTTAAATTGTGCAAAAACATGCCATCTCTTAAGATAGAGGGAAACCTGTGATGAAAGTGGGGGAAGATATGGAAAAGTGGGGGAGATCTCAGCAATTGTACCACAGTTTCCAATGGAGATAGCACATTCCAGAGGGAAACACATTCTGGAGGAAAGTCCAAAATAAGAAACTGCACAGTCCTGAACTGAATTGGAGAGGGAGGAAAAGGTTCAGGATAGCCACACCCTACAATCTCTCAGGATATATCTATCAAGTTAGAAGGTAATACCTTTGGTCTGGCAAGAATCTGTCTATTAGGTTTTAGCAAATAAAGAATTGGACTCAGTTGGATTTCACTCCATGAATTGGACTTGGGTTTGATATACAGTAGCTAGATAACTGGTGCCTTTATCAACTGCTGAATTGTTACCTATCCAGCCTTGCATCAGAGGAAACTCATATCTCCATGAAGTTTGCTGTCCCAATAACCAATCTTTAACAATAGTAAAGGCCCCGATACCAACTTCTATAAATCTAGCAATTCTGCACTCTACATCAGATGGGAATTTGAATTTGGCAGGAGTGCTTATTAGAGCAGAGTTCCCCAACCTTTTCGGCTTTGCAGACTGGTAAGGAGAGGAGGAGAGAGGATGGTTCCATTTGCATGAGCGGTGGGCATGTGTGCCCACTGCTGGCACAAATGGAACACATGTGCACGTGCTCACCCACTGCTCATGCAAGTGGGGATGCACCCGAGAGTGCACTCACCCACTTCCGGGGCCCAGTTCCGAAAGCTCAAGGCCAGGGGTTGGGGACCTTTGACTAGAGCAGGGGTGTCAAACTCAATTTCATTGAGGGCCGCATCAGCATTGCGGTTGCCTTTGGGGGCTGGGGGGCTGTGGCCAGAGTGGGTGTGGCCTACTGGGTGGGTGTGGCCAGCTCTACATCGTTCGATTCAAGGGTGCCTGTGGGGGCCTGGGCAGGAGTGGGACAGATCTGAGGGTCTCTGGCAGAAGGGGGTGGGACCGGGGCAAGTGCCAAGGCATGGTCTACTGGAAGAGCCTCACTGCCTGCTGAAACCCGTCCACCGGAGCCCATCAAGCCGGATATGTGAAGTAGGTGAGGGCCATTTGCTGGCCACTTCCAGGCGATGGTGCATTTTTTCATTCCTCACAAAGGGTGACACCTCCCCAGCATGCACCCAGGGGGCGGGGCCGACGCAGCAGGGGCTGGTTCCTCGCTGTTTCCAGATGGCCTTGTGGAGCTAAGACTGAATGCATTTCAGCATAGATGGCCACTACAAAATTGTACATTGGTTCCCCTAAGATGGCAGCAAAGAGATTCTCTGAAGCTTTGAAGGCCAAATCTAGCAGCTTTACCTTCTCTTCTAGCACAACTAAGTCCCTATCAAACTAGCAGAAGCTGGTCCTTCTAAGGAAGCACTAGTGAGCTGACTCAGCCTCACCAATATTTCATTGTTCCTCAAGGGCAAAGGGAGATTAACTGAGAGTTACTACACAGCTTTCCTAATTAGGAAATGCCTACTGCAGTAATCTGTGTGTGGTTCAGGATATGCCCTTTCAAACCAGAGAAGGCATAAACAGATCCTGCTAGTTTACCTAACCTGTATCTTTCTAGATGGGAGCAAAGAATATGTATCAGGTGACCCACTCCAGGAATTGCTCCCCACTTCATTTACCACAGAACGCTTCTACTTCTAGAGAATGTGGTTAAATGGACAGAACAATTGTTCCAATCATTATTTCACTAAGCCCCATTTCCTAATACATCCTGGATGTTGTGGATACATGAATTTCTTCCATAGATCAGATCCAGTTCCAGATTTCTGGGATATCTATATATAAAGAAGTATTCATTTGCATAAAACCAACATTTTCCAGCCAACCTGCTACATGTTCTCCAACAAGTTTGCCTTCATTTTTTTCTAATAATCTAGCTGTGTACTCTTACAATCTGAATTTTCATTTCATTTCCTGGTTACAAAATGGAAAAACTAGTTTTTGTTCTTGATAGATTTAAACAATTTGTCTTTACGTATGTAAAATATAAGCAGCTGTAGCTAAATTTATTGACTCTTTTCATTCTGGAACTAACAGGAAATGCCTCCTGCACGTGTGAACCAAGTACTTGCAGAATCAGTCCTGCAGCTGTAAGTAGGAAGCCTTTGTTCTGACAAATGCCAGTTCCTCTGCCTCTGCTTGAAGGAAACCACAGATACTTCCTCTAGCCCTGTCTGTTTCCGTTCTTTAATCTTTTTCTCTTGTACAACAGATTTGGAAAGGCAGCTACATATTCTGTTAGACTGCCTTTTCAAAATGGTGGGTCAAAGAACAAGGCCCACACCTTCTAACCTGCTGCTTTCCTCTACAGCAAATGGTTGGAAAGTTTCAGAGATCTAAGACTCCTTTAAAGCAGGAAAAAGCAGAATAGATTATTAATAAATAAAATTATTTTTGTCTCCTGGGGTATTTAATCTCCTTTAGCTCAGCTGGAAGATGGTTCCCCTCTGAGTGTTGCTGGCAGTGCATTCATTTAGGCCAGAGCATAGTCAATTTTCTGCAGACAAAGAATAATATGGGAGTCCGTAACAGGAGCCTCATAGCTAGCTCAAGGCTAGATGACAGAAAAGTGTTAGAATTAACTATGCTGCACAGTACAGTAGATCTTTGCTGCCATTTTGTGCTCAGCTGGTAGCCAGAAATAAAACCAGAGAAAAGCTAACCTTTAATTTCACTCAAGACTGAGTAGCTTTTATCTTACCAATAGGGTTAGTCAAATTCATTTATTTTCCATTGTTTTCATATACGTATACGTATACATGTACATGTATACGTATGTATGTATGGGTATATATATGTAGGGGTGTGTGTGTGTGTGTGTGGTTTACAGGTGCTTTATGTATGTTTCATTTTTAATGTGTGCCAGTGTGCTTACAGTAAAAAAAAATGACAATAAAGGTTATCTTATCTTAATCAGAACCAAATCCAGACATCAAATATTTAACACAATTGCGTGCTTTGTGGAATCTAGTAGATGGTGAAACAGAATAAAGCCAGATGACATCAATAAAGGAGAATGTTTGTAGCTCTGGGCTGAACTACTATGGGATCCTTGGTGCTTTCTGAGCTTGGTTGTTTTCTTGCAGATGGTTCATTACCCAACTACTGATGCACTGAAGAAGATACCTAGCTGGGTAGTAAAACGTCTACAAGAAGACAAACAACTTCAGAGAGCACCAAGGATCCCATAATTTTATCTTCGTCTTCACAAAGCTTTTCCAACCTGGTAACTCCATATGAGTTAGACTTCCCTACCAGGATTGGGAACATTTTTCTTGGTGGGTTTTTTTTCCCTACTTTTTCCTAAATTTATGCTTGAGTCCAGTGTCAAGACTGTACACAGTTTTCAGTTTACATTTTGTAACAGATCTAAAAACTTGGTTTAAAAAAAAAAACGGAGGGAGGATAAGATTAAATAAAATTGATGTGAATTGTGAAGATAGCTTGTCAGTTTCATCTACCCGATTTTTTTCTTTTTGTATCCCTCCCCCTCTGTGCTTGTGTCCTGAATCTTTTGACTGGACTCTTCTGCCAATTTCTTCTTTTTCCGCATTCTCATTTTCAAATCTAGGTTCAGAAATAATTCTATGAGTGCTACCCATAGGTCATCTTTTCC